CCTCCGCTCCGTCGCGCAGTTCCTCGAGCGACCACCTACTTCGCTCAATCTCATAGTCCTCCACCTCGGCTCCGGCGCCTCCGCGTGCGCAATCAAAGCTGGCCAGTCCCTTGATACTTCCATGGGTCTCACACCCCTCAGCGGCCTCCCAGGCGCCACTCGTTCTGGCGCCGTCGACCCTTCTCTCATCTTCCACTACACAAACAAGGCCGGGCGTATCACACACGACCCAGGTATGGCTGTCAACCTTCATGTCACCATGGCCGAGGACATTCTCAATCGCAAGAGCGGGTGGAAAGTCCTCACCGGTACGACCGACTTTGGCGAGATCGTCAAGAGAGCAAAGATACGGGTGCGGAACGAGGCGAAAGTGGATGATGAAGAGAGCACGGACCAGTGGACGCTTGCGTTTGATCTGTTCGTGGATAGGATATTGGATTTCGTAGGTGCGTATCACCTGAAGCTTGGTGCCGCCATCGATGCACTCGTTTTCTCGGGTGGCATTGGTGAGAGAAGTAAGGAGCTAAGAGAGGTCGTTGCTGCGCGGGCCAGGTGTCTTGGCTATGCCAAGGTTGATCCCGCGAAGAATGCGGAGTTGGATCAGGGCGTGGTCGTCGACATTGGACAGAAAGGTGAAGGTAAGGGTGAGAGGGAAAAGCGAGTGTTGGTTTGTAGGACAGACGAACAGGTATGTCTGTGTTGTTTTTGTCCTTCTTGAGGTTAATCCCTGTCAGCTTGAGATGGCCCAATCTTGTGCTCTTGATGAGAGGTTTTGGAATAGACAGGACTAGTTGATGATAAAACCATGCAACGTGCGATAGAAATGAAAAATTTATTTATTAGTCAAGCTTGTGCAAAAGAAGCAAAAGAATGTGTCCCTTTGATCATTGGGGGCACCGCGGATTGAACGCGGGACCTTCAGAACTTCAGTCTGCTGCTCTCCCAACTGAGCTATGCCCCCTTTCCTTGCTTCGACACCCTGAGAGGGAACTCACGACTACACAGATTGGCGTGAATCGAGGCATTTATGACTACCCGCCACACCTATCACATTTGAGCCGCGTCTGCGGGGGAACACTACAACTAGCATGGGACAATTTAGACACCCATTCGGAACTTTCCAAAAAAACTCCGACTACGCGATCTCGGAGGTCGGATAAGTCGACAGTGCCAGTCCTATCACCGTGTTCCATATTTCTATCTTAACACCCAGAAGGAATCAAGAAACTTTGCATTCCTACTAACCAGATCGATCTGTGCTCGCTTCTGACTTACAAGGTCAAGGTCTCACTCGAGACTTGTGGCATATCGAATACGTTGCAATACGTTCCGACAGATGTCGAATCTTCTTTCTTTACCATTTAAGAAGACATATCCAGTCAATATCAAAGAAGCCGTTCGGGACTACATCTATACGCATGGAGGAGGACACCCAGACGAGTTTAAAGATGATATCAATCTTTGGCAAAACCTGAGGAAGGATGGCGTCGGTGGCATGGTGCATGTCAATCGAATTGATGCTTTTCTGCTGTCCGTGTCGAAATACCCTATCGTTATAGCATTCAGCTAAAAATATTCTCTTACAAGCTACCATGCACAACTGGTCTCCATCTTGACGAAACTTCCAGCAGATGTAGGTCGTTAGATCGAAATGACGAGTATTCAGACTCAATGTTTGTTCAGATAGGCTTGGACATTGCATATGCTCCTGTGTTTCAGGAAAGCTCTGTGCCGATTACAATGAGGAGTCTCGTGTTTGAGCGGTGTTGTGTCCTCTTCAACCTTGCTTCTTTATACTCTCAGCTCGCCGCATCCGAAGACCGATCCACAATGGATGGTATTAGACGTGCTACGGCAAATTATCAAGCATGTATTACCTTCTGAAAGATTCACTTTTAACCTAACCCTTACCGCTTTGTAGCACGCAGCAGGGGTGCTGGCCTTCCTGAAGAAATCGGCCATACCAAAAATGGTCTATCCACCTGGTGAAGAAGATAATTTACGAGATCTTTCTGAATCATTCGCCACATCACTTGAGTTGCTTATGCTGGCTCAAGCACAAGAATGCTCTTGGCAGATGGCCAAACTGAGTGCGCAGGTTCAACGCGTATGAGAGGTGTATCTCAAATTTTCGCTAGATCGATACAAAAATGCTCTCATTGCAAAAGTTGCCGCCCGGGTACTTATGGCTGCGATTTCCGTATTGAACTCTCGCAAATCATTTTCTCTTAGGTGGCCTCGCTTTACCAAGAAACTTCTCAGGTCATTCGTGGAGCATCGCCTTCAATAAAGGATATCTTCCCATCGGTATGTCATCCCAGATCTCCAAGGACTTTCGTTTTACCTTTCTTTTGCAGGACTGGCTTCCCCACATCGAAGCCAAATGCCACCACTTCGCGGCGGTATCCGAATACCGCAAGAGCATGGACGAGATCGAGACCAGTAGGTCCGCCTTGATATTTCTCATTAGTTTATCTATTCTTGATTCACGCCAATCTTTTCAACTTCCAGGTACGGAATTGAAATTGCAAGATTGCAAGAAGCACAGGCAGAGGCGAAGAAGGCATATGATATTGCCAGGCGTGGGCGAATAAAGCCCCCTGTCATACAAGATATCCAGGTAAGATTCCTTTTTCCTATGCGACTTCGTGTGACAAACTGATTCTGGCAGTCTTTACTTGAGATTGTCCAGAAAAATCTCAGTCGAGCTGAACGTGACAATGACCTTATCTATCATCATGATGTTCCCGCTGTGTCATCTCTTATCAGCATAACCCAAACGAATCTCGTATCTTCCACTGTACCACCCGCTCTACATGATCCATCGTCTCTCATTGGTAGTGGGAGATTAATTTTTGGTGAATTGGTGGGATGGGGCACCAAAGAAGCTATTAGTAAGTCCCCTTTCGGGGAGGTGGTTTTCTTCTTATTGCCTTTTCCCTAGATATCTATAATGATAGGCGACACAACTTGATTAAGGAAAAAATACTCAACGCGTCAACCGAACTACAAGATGCGGCGGACGAGTAAGCATCCGCTCGTTGTGCATAGTTTGAGACTGATACCGTTGTAGAGCCCTTCGGATTTTGCATCTTCCATCCTCTTTAGAAGCTCTGGAGCGCCCAGTAGGTCTGCCTCCGAGTCTGCTCCGCAAGGCTGAGGAAATACGCCATGAAGATGGCCCCACAAAGATTGAAGTTTCCATTGAAGATGTTCAACGGTTGTCTCAACAAGACCAAGCAATTCTGGACGAAGTCAGAGTCACAATACCTTCGGTGGCGCCTCTCTGATCTATCTGTTTCTCAGGCGATGGACGTTCTGGATAATGAAGCATCAGAGGATGAAGCTGCGCGAAAGTATAAAAGTCTCGATAGGCTTCCCTCTCACGAAGCAAACGTTGAGTTGATAGCAAAGGAGAAACGATATCGCACCGTTCTGACCCAAGCAGCCGCAAGTGACGAAACTGTACGACAGAAGTGGGACGAATGGGAACAAAGTATCGTTGAACTTACATGGAGCGAGGTATAGAATGAATCCGCTGCCTTAAAATTCTACCTGCGTTGATATTCTTGCAATGGTAAATTACAGGAGGACCTCGAAGCATCTATACCTTCGTCGACATTGTCGTCTTCGTCCGCAACAACTGTGCAAGGTCGGGAGACCCAAAACCACTCACGAGCTCTGCGCGTCCAAATTGAGGCTCTCGATGATGTACACCGGGCTCGCGGACAGCTCGTTCGGCGGGCACAAACCCTAGCTGCTGCAGATGACATCCAAGAGCGTGTGACGAAGATCGCCGCGGGATTTGCGCGTCTTGCGGAGGTGACGCCCGCAATGTTTGAAGATGTGTTAGACGAGGAATTAGCGAAGTATGATAAGTTTTTCTCAGAGATGAATGAGATCCGGCAACGCCAGGGGGCTATCATCGCAGAGATCCAGGTGAACCTATTTTTTTGATCCTTACCCACGACTAATGCATTTGATGTGATTTTGCTGCGTCTTTTTTCTGGTTGCTACGACCGCTTTTGGTATGGGGACTGTAGCGCTTGAATGACTTGTTCCTGCGGTCCCGCAAAGACGACCCTGCTGTTAAGGAGCGAGAACATGCATTGCAGAACCTGGAGCTTGCCTATCACAAATATCGAGAAATCATGGGAAATCTCGACGAGGGAATCAAGGTACGTTGACCATGAACCGTTTTTCGTATACTGATGTTAATCATCATCGCGTTGTCGTTGTGCTGTTACCAACTCTGCTTTTCTCATATCTGCAGTTTTATAACGACTTGGCAACGATCTTGTTGCAATTCAAGGAAACATGTAAGAACTGGAGCCGTGCCCGGAACCAGCAGATTCAGTACGAGAATCCCTGATGGGCACAATCCGTCTCTGAAACCTGATTTCGTAGCTCCTTGACGCGGTCGTTACAAAAATTGTCGGTGGAGCCGCGGAGCGATATAGCCATCTCGGCGTCAACATTCCCCCCTACACCCACGGCATCTCAAAGCGACGTAGATCCGACAGGTTCCGTTTATCAATGTCCAAGTACTGTAGGTACAGGTCAGCCTGAGACAAGCGAACCCTCTCCGGACATGAGTCATGGGCCAGCAGCTCAGGGATCCATCAAGCCCCAACCACGGAGCGGGTTGCAGACTTTGACACCAACTCTAAAAATGCCCGCCAGGGGCAAGAAGTCAGCATCGAGCAAGTCGGCGCTTGGACTACCAGCGCTGTCATCGACAGAATGGGACTTTGAGGACATTAAACTACCGCCACCTCCCACTCTCAAGCGACGTCCTTAGTCTGGTAGCCGTTGGGAAGAGCGGAGCTATAGATACGCCTTCTTTGTGATTGGTTTAGGGTTTCTTCAACATTTCGTTCCTTCTATAGCCGGAGTCTCCACAATAATTTGAGCGAACATGCGGATCCAATTTGACATTGATTAAGAGAGATCCAACCGAAGTGATGTTGGATGATAGCAGTAAGCTTATGTAAATGACGGGGGGCATAGCTCAGTTGGGAGAGCAGCAGACTGAAGTGAATTAGCACATTCTGAAGGTCCCGCGTTCAATCCGCGGTGCCCCCATGTGATCAAAGGGACACATTCTTTTGCTTGTTTTGCACAAGCTTGACTAATAAAACCTATTCTAACTACATATGCTGGAACGTTCCGGGGCTGAATACATACATTCTAACCGAGCGTGGGGACCCAGTCATTGGTTTCTCTTTGGTCTCCTTAGGATCTTGAGAAAAGTCTATTGCCAAAATTAATCAATTGCATGAAATTCGCGGATGACAGATTAATTGACTTCTGTAGATACTATGTTGAAGGAAAACTCAATATCAACCTGTTGTATAAGATAAAAGCTATTTGATAGAAAACCTAACTTTGTAGTTGTCAATTTTTCATTTCATTGAGACCATAACACCTATTGAATAGGCTTATAGAGCCAAAGTGCTCAAGGAATTCTATGGACTGTTTACAAGGATAAAAGCGGAGACAGAGTTGCCATAGCAAAGTCATTGACAAAACCTGTTCAGGTCAAATGACCAACGGATTTTTACGACACAATCCGAATTACATAAGATGGTGCTATTAGGGCCCCCGCCGTTTTCTGAAAAGAAAGCAGTTAACAAGAGACACGCTGTTAGACATCACGGCAACCAGAAACTAGATGTTTGCTATACGTATATATGCACCGATAAGGAGGTAAAAAAATTTCATGTAGATCAATCAGTTCTTTGTGAGACCATGGTCAGGAAAAAGCCGACTCATCACGTTTTTGCGATCAACTGTGGCCGCACAGGACAACCCTCATACATTTCCACATCTCTTTTTGATACCCAACCCGCTAGTTCTGACTCCTTCGTATACCTCTCCCTTCTTGCGCTGTTGCTGGGCTGCAAGCGCTGGTTCTGCGTCCGACCACATCCTGGCACCACTTTCAACGCTTTACAGATAACAAGACTACAAGACCTCATATTTTCCGTCCTTTGAACGAACATCATGTCTTATCAGGAACCTACGTCGCCGGGAGGCATGTCAAATCGCCGTCTCACGAATAGGAATACCAATCGTTACAGTGTCACTGCGCTGTTCAGCATGGCAGCAGAACAGGATGTGGAGGTCGAGGATGACCTGGCGAGAGGTATGTACGCCGTTGATAATTGCATTCTTTGAATCTAAATTATCGTCTAATGCCACCCCAGCCCAAAAGCGTCTCAGAGATTTGAAGGGCAAAATTTCTGCTCAGAGCAAGAAGAACTTCGTTCTTGAGCGCGATGTTCGGTACCTTGATTCCCGCATCGCACTCCTGATTCAGAACAGAATGGCATTAGACGAGGTGAGTTCAAAAGTTAAACTTCAGAAACAATTGCTTTGACACCGTCTCGGTTAGCAACGGGAAGTTGAGAGAACTCTCGAAGACGTTGACCCCACTGAAGGACACTATCCCGATGACCGCCGACTTCAGCAATACTCTAATTTGTTCTTTCTCCTACAATCTGAGCCTCGACACATTGCGGCTCTCTGCCGCCTCGTCTCCCTATCTGAAATTGACACTCTTCTCCAAACTGTCATGTTTACGTTATATGGAAATCAATATGAAAGTAGGGAGGAGCATCTTCTTCTCACTATGTTCCAGTCCGTTTTATCTGCCCAATTCGAAACGGCTACCGAATTCGGTTCACTCCTACGCGCCAACACTCCTGTGTCCAGGATGATGACGACATATACCCGCCGTGGCCCTGGGCAAAGCTATCTCAAGAGCGTTCTTGCCGAACGTATCAATAGTTTGATTGAACACAAGGAGCTCAATCTCGAAATTAATCCTGTCAAGGTGTGTTGTATACTCCATTACACGGTGTCTGCTGAATGAAATCAGGTATACGAACAAATGATTAATCAAATTGAAGAAGAACAGGGAGTACTTCCACCTGAGCTTCCTCGTGGAGTCGCTCCGGAAGTCGCAGCTGCAAACTCAGATGTTCAACAAATCATTTTACCTCGACTAACTATGCTTGTCGAAATTGCGAGTAGTTTCCTGCTTACGATAATTGACAGCATGGAAAGTGTACCCTACGGAATTAGGTGGATCTGCAAGCAAATTCGAAGTCTCACTCGAGTATGTATCATGTTTTCATCATGCGCAACTCTGACCGATTTTTCAGCGCAAATACCCTGATGCAACTGACTACGCCATCTGTTCCTTAATTGGGGGTTTCTTTTTCCTTCGTTTCATCAACCCTGCTATCGTCACACCCCAGGCGTATATGCTGGTAGAAGGTGTTCCTGCAAAGCACCCCCGACGAACCCTGACTCTCGTGGGTTCAATATTCACTCATTCTCCAATCTTTTCTCATCGTTTCTGAGCAGATCGCCAAGATGCTCCAAAACCTGGCAAATAAGCCATCGTATTCAAAGGAGGCCTACATGATAACTCTCAATCCTTTTGTCGAGAACAATAAAGCTCGTATCAACCAATTTTTAAACAATCTTTGTGAGGTCGGTGATTTCTATGATACACTCGAGGTATGTGCTTGTACTCGTCCTTTTATCTGCGCATGAGTTGACGAATGCATAGATGGACCAATACATGGCTCTGTCCAAGAAAGACCTCATGATCCACATCACTTTGAATGAGTTGTACAACACACACTCCCTCATCCTACAACACATTGAGACTTTGGTCTGTCCTCTTTTCTCTGTTTCCGTTCCTTCCTTTCTTGACGTAAATCTTACCAGTCCCCTAACGACAAACAACATCTACGGATCTTGACTGACGAGCTCGGCCCAGCTCCGCCTCAAGTACCTCGAAAGGAAAATAGGACCATTGAGCTTAATTTGTACAGCCGTTGGGAGACGCCTATTCAGGACATACAAAGTGCACTGATGGACTCCGTGTCATCGAGCGACATGCTCTACATGGAGACCAAGTCCATCTTCGTCCAGCTTATCCGTTCTCTTCCTCATGCAGCTGAGAAACGGCCTTACAATCTAGCTGCAATTGCTGAACGAGCTGCAACGACAAAGGACGCTGTTCTAGTGCGCAAGGGGATCAAGGTCAAAGAAATGCTACGGGAGCTTGAGGAATTCAAGATTGTAGAAGCGGCTGACGGTTACAAATTGATGCAGGAAGAAGTGGCAGCTGAGCTTGTCCATTTGGGTAATCTGCGTGAGAAGGTTGTGCTCGAGACTAAATCCCTCGAGGCGGTGTACAAGACGATATGCGACCACAACAATTACATGCGTTCACAGCTGGAGCAATACAAGGCCTATCTTCAAAATGTTCGTCTCACAGCGTCAAAGGATAAAGGAAGTACCACGGGAGTCGGGGTCGTTACAGTGGGCGGCAAAGAAAAGAAACCTGTCAAGGCAGTCGTGCTTGGCCCCTACCGGTTCACTCATGCTCAATTAGAGAAAGAGGGTATCATCGTAGAAAGTAACGTCCCGGACAATAGGTATGACGTCGTTTGGCTTGTAACACTCACGTACTGATCTTGCCTAGGCGACCCAACATTTACTTCAACATCACATCGCCGACACCTGGGACATTTATCATCGCGCTACACTACAAGGGTCGTGAGAAAGCAATCCTTGAGATGGACCTCAAAATTGATGACCTACTTGAGAAAGTAAGTGCATCTGTATCTTCACCGAGGTTTGAGAAACTCAAATACAGGTATTCTTACTCTTCATCATGTAGCAAAAAGACAACAAGCACCTTCTGGACCTGGAATATGTACAACTGAACGTACCGAAGGTATTGGGCCTTCTCAAGAAAGTTTTTGCCAAGCGATGACCAAATATTTCATACCTTATCTTTATACACACTCTCTTTTACGCTCATCCCTATTTTTTGCGCTACCCACATTGTACGCATGTCACTTCACAGTCCTTTATTATTATTACACTGGCTCGTTCTTCTTTCACTTGCCTCTTCTAGGATGTATCATCTCTATGTAGCTAGCTGAGTACATGCGCCTCTCAAATGTAGTATCTGGAGTTCGTTTGTTGGTATTATTATTATGTCTGAACTTATTATCTGTCGATATTACTTATGGTCAGTACTCCAACGTCTGCGCGATGGCGTGAAACAAGCTCATCAGTTGAGCCGGTTGCTAATGCTTTGGGCGCTGACTGTCGCCGAGTTTGGATCTCCGATCTATGATCGGCGCTGCCAGTTGGCACTTCCACATACATACTTAATCTTTACTCCTCCTGAATTTCTTCATCCCTTCTTTCCTGTTTTGTTTCCTTCGTTTCATCTCGGTCTCTTGCATGCCTACCTAGGTGCTCCCTCGTCAGACATGTGGTCTTTGACTCCATTCCTGGCCTCTCTCAGCTTCCTCGCCGTTTTAGCAAAAGCCTTACAACCCCGTTCTGCAATACCTTCGAGTCCTATTACGCCTCGCATACATGCTGTATCATCACGAGACATTAAGTTGAGCGGAACTTCTCTCACCGGTATTACGCCAGTATCACTGTCAAGTGATAAACAGTGCGTTCTGACGTATGCAGAATGACTGTCTGCTCAACATTGCCATGCAGGTCGTATTACACTCTCCTCGACATCGGCGCGATTCCTTTCCGGGTTGCGCTTGATAGTGCTTCGTCTGATCTGTGGATAATCTCCTCTGACTGTACCACGAAAACCTGTGACGCCGTGCCCCGATATCCCCTGTCCTACCAAAGCCCAACTTACGTGCCTGTCAACGACAACTCTACTACGTTTATGGTCAGCTATGTGGATGGAACCGGTGTGTACTACTCGAAATTCTATGTCCTTGATACAACATAATGATAAGCATTATGAAGTGGCATCCGGCTTTGTGGCCAAAGAGAGTGTTTCATTGTCCAATTTTACTGTCACGAATCAGGTGTTCGGTGCATCTCATCTATCTACTCCGTTCTCTATCTGTCTTACCTTCGAAATCAAGGTATGGTGACCAAGTCGAATGTAACAATGGTCGACGAGACCAGTGGCATATTCGGGCTCGGCTTTCCAAGACTGTCTTCCATTCCGTCAAGCGTTACAAATGGTAAGCTTACGTATGGTTAAACTTGCATTGAACTTGCGTCATGTG